GGAAAACCCATCAGAAGTGCATCAAACTTCTCTACACAAATCCTCAAGTCAAGAAAAGCCTAGAGTGCTATCTTTCAAGTCCTGAAAAAGAAACTTCCAACATAGGCTGATATATCCTGCAAAACTGTCTTTCAAAAATACTGGAGAATTAAGATATTTTCATGTAAAGAACAGCTAAAGAATTCATGACCACCAAATGCATACTACAAAGGGTACTGAAAAAAGCTATGATAGACAGAGATAAAAATGATCCCAATTCAAAGAACAATGACAGAAGATCATCAACCAAGGAAATCAATGAAATGGAAAAAGTAGGGAACAAACTACAGGAAAATAAAAAGACTCAGACAAACCAATATGTGTTAGTTATAGCCATCAGTGTAAATGGCCTCCATTCACCAGTCAGAAGAAACAGACTGGCAGAATGGATCAAGAAATAAGGTCCAGCAATATGCTGTATGCAAGATGTTTAACTCAATAGGAGATTCACAGACTAAAAATCAACAGAGGGAAAACAATGCTCCATGCACTAGGAATGCATGAAAATGCAGGGGCAGCTATTCTGTTTGCAGACATTGTGAACTTCAAACCAAAAATGATTAAAAGATACAAGACAGTCACTACATACTTGTTAGGGGAACAATTCAAGACAAAGAGATAATGATCATTAATAAATATGTAGCAAATATAGGAGTACTAAACTAGAAAGACAATTATTAATGGATCTGAAAAAGCAGAGAAGCAATAACACAATTGTAATGGGAAACCTTAATATCCCATTGTCACAAAGTGAGGGATCACCTAGACCAAAGAACCTGTGAAACAATATTACAAAAGCAAAAACAAAAACAAAGTGGGAACAGAATGAAACTGTGAACAAATGAACTTAGTAGATGTTTACAGAATATTCCACCCAGTGACATTGGAATTCACATTCATCTCAGTTGCACACAGGACATTCTCTAAAAGAAACCATATATTAGCCCATCTTAAGTAAATACAAAAGAATTTAAACTTTTCCATGCATATCATCTCACATCGTGCAATCAAATTGTAAATGAATGACAAAAGAAACTGCAAAAACTGCATAAACACATGGCAATTAAATATCACCTTCCTGAACAATCACGAGTCACAAACTGAAATTAAAGAAGAAATTGAACAATATCTACAATCAAATGAAAATGCAAATGCAACTAACCGTAACTTATGAGATGCAATGAAAGGAGTCCTAATGGGAAATTTATAATGGTGATTTCTCATATCAGGAAAACAGAAGGAACACACATAACATAATGTTGCATCACATATTTTTTAAAAATATAGAATAATTCAAGGCCAAAGCCTGTGCAAGGGTGGATATTATAAATATCAGAGCAGAAATTAATGTCATTGAGACTAATAAAGCAATATAGACAATTAATAAAGAGTTGGTTCTTTGAAATAATAAAACTTGTGAACCCTACACAACCTTATCAACAAAAGGAAAGAAAAACATTAAATTCTTGCAATAAGGAACTAAAAATGTGATCCACTACAGATCCTGTAGAAAATCAGAGGATCATCAATAACTACTGTGAAAATCTTTACTTGTAGAGGATGGAAAACACAGAAGAAATGGGGAGATTTCTAGAAACCTATGACTTAACAAAGGTGAATCAAGGAGATATAAAAATTCTTAATAACTCAGTATCAGTCACTGAGGTTGAAAATATAATAAAGCCTAAACAACAACAACAACAAAAAGCTCCTGGCCTAATCAATTTACTGCTGAATTCCACAAGAATTTTAGAGAAAATTTAATGCCAATACTCCTCAAACTTTTAAAGAAATTTAAAGAGAGACAATATTGCCTAACTCAATTCTAGGTAAGTATTACTCTGATTAAAAAAAAAAAAAAAAAAAAAAAAACAGAGTAAGACCGTATTAAAAAAAGAGAACTATAAACCAATATCCCTAATGAACATAGAAGCAAAAATCTTCAATAAAATACTAGCAAATAGGTTGCAGCAAATCGTTAAGAATATCACACACATGACCAAATAGGATTCATCCCAGGAATGCAGCGATGTTTCAACACATACAAATCAATCAGCATAATACATCATATCAACAGAGCCAAAGACAAAAATCATGTGATTAGGGGCTGGAGGTTTAGCTCAGCGGCATAAGCACCTGCCTTGCAAGCAGGCAGTCGTGAGTTCGATCCCCGGTACCGATAAAAAGGAAAAAGACAAAAAAAAAAAAAAAAAAATCATGTGATTATATCAATAGATTAAAAAAAACCGTTTGATAAAGTCCAACACTTGTTTGTGATAAAAACCGTAGATAATATACAAATCGCTAGTCTCTGCCTCAATCTAATAAAGGCCATCTATGACAAACCAACAGCCAAAATCATACTAAATGGAAAAAGTTGAATGCTTTCATTCTAAAATGAAGAACAAACAACGATGTCCACTATCACCTTTCCTATTTAATATAATTCTGGAAACATTAATCAGAGAAATTACACAAGAGATAAATAAAAGGAATAAAAACACAAAAGAAAGAAGTTAAATTATCATTATTCACAGATGACATGATACTCTACATGCAAGATCCCAAAAACTACACCAAAAAACTTTCAAATGTACTGAGAAAATTTAGTAGCACAGTCAACATCCAAATGGACACAAAGTCTAAATTAAAAAATCAATAGCAGTCCCATACACAAACAACAAACTCACTGAGAGACAAATTAGGGAAGCCACATACTTCCAAATAACATCCAAAAAGATGGAATACTTAGGAATGAATCTAATAAAGGACAAAAAGTACTATACATTAAAAATTGTAACACTCAAAAAAGGAGATTGAAAAGAAATTCAGAAAATGGAAAGATATCCCTTGAACAAGGATAGGAAGAATCATCATTGTAAAAATGCCCATATTTCCAAAACTGTTATACAGATAAAATGCAATTGAAATAAAAATACCGTGAGCAAATCCAGTCTATCTAGGAAAATAAAAGAAAGATAAGAGAAATCACAATCACTGATTTAACATTGTACTACAAAGCTAGTATGATAAAATCAGCGTGGAAAACAAACAATGAAATAAAAAAACCTGACCTGCTAATCAGTGTTACAGCTTAGAAGAGGCAGACACAACTGCAAGCACACTGGGCCATCTTATCATTGAAAAAGAGGCCAAACATATTCAATGGAAGGAAAATAGTCTTTTATAAATTATGCTGGGAAAACTGGCACCTCACAGGTTGAAGACTAGTGTGAGATCCATGTCTGTCACAACTCACTTAACTAATGTCACAATGAATCATAGATCTAAATATTCAAACAGAAACACTAAACCGATTGGAAGAAAATGTAGGGAGAAATCCTGAAAACATAGTTGTAAGGCAGAGAGTTTGTGAACAGAACCCAAACTGCAGGGGAAGTACTTCAAAGAGTAAACAACTGGGATGTCATCTTTTTAAAAGGATTTTGTAAATCAAAAGAAATCATCAACAGAGTAAAGAGATGACCCCACTAGTGGGGAAAAAATTTAACCAAGTTCCCCTCAGACAAAGGAATTCTATCTAGACTGTTTCAAGAACTGCAAAAAAAATCAAGTGGCCTAAATTCAATGATCCAATCGAAAAATGGGCACTTGAGATGAAAACATACTTCTCAGATGAGGCAATAGAAGTGGGAAATAAACATACGAAAAAAAGTTTAACATCATTGGTCATTCAAAAAATGCAAATTAAAACAAGACTGAGATTCTATCTCACCCCAGAATGAAGGCCAATCATCAAGAAATTGACCAATATCAAATGCTGGCAATGCTGTGGGGAAAATGGAGCCCTTCTCCACTGTTGGTGGGAAGCAATGTGGACTGGTAGAACTGCTGCTTCAACCAGTGGGAGATTCCTCAAGAACACTAGGATTAGAGGTCCCATTGACCCTGCTTCCCCTCTGGGCATTTTCCCAGAAGAATTAAGAGCATCATACCACAGCAATGTACGTGAACCCACGTTAATAATAGCATGGTTTTTCATACCTAAAACCTTGGAAATAATCGAAATGTACATCAACAGCACAATTAACTAAAAAGATGGGCTATATTCATACAAGGGTGTCCTACTCTGCTATAAAGAAGGATAAGTTCGAGATTTCTTAAGTAAATGGATACAATTAGAGACCACTCGGATAGGTGAAATAAATCAGATGTGCATGTATAAACATCATATTGTCTTCCTAGTGTAAGAATATCTAAAATGTAAAATCCATATCGTGGAAGGGGGAGAATCTGCCTAGAAGGAAAGAACATGTGGAATGGAGGAAAGCAGAAAAGAAGGAAAAGAAAAATATATGTATTTACATACTAACACAGGTAAGATAACTACACTAATTTCTTCTAGTTCGTTGGAAAGGTTTGTGCTTATACTGTTTGATCAATTTTTCAAGCATATACAATATGTTAACCATTATTAATTTTCTATTATCTTGTATTGAAATTCTGTGCTACGTTCTTTATTGTTTTATTTCTTTAAAATAGAACTTAAAAATTCCGAAGGAAATTAAAACTTTTCTACAATCAGGAAACTGAAAGAGCTCAGGCAGAAGGTTCCAAGGAAGCAGCTGGAAAGGAGGGGCAGAATTCCAAATAGATTAGCCTTTGCCTTTGGAAGGTTGAGAAGGGGGAGCTGGCAGGAGGGAACAGGAAGGCTCAGGACATTGGGGTTGGGGCTTCTGTGTTGCACTGTAGGGGAGGGGCGCTGGGCCTCAGCTTCTTGTTACAGCTCTGCTGCCCACTAGGTGGGGTGCTTTGTGACAAGGATAGCATAGCTCTGTGACCTAGGCCTGCAGCCCTCCCTTCTGGTGTGCTAGGAAACTGTCAGGGCTCACTTGCCTGAGAGCAACTGTGTGATTCAGATGTCAGAGAATCTTGTCTCTCTTCTGAAGAGCTTTGGTGCCACATGGCTAAGCCTCTGCTCCACCCCTTGGGCTACGGATATGATCCTCGCCTTTGTGGGTGGAGTGGGGGTGTTCCTAGTGTTACTGCCCTTCCTCCCAGATAATCCATCCCTACCACCTCCAGCCCCACTCAGGAAGAAGAAACGTTCCAGAAAGGTGAGAGATCCTCAAGTCGCATGCCAGAAAGAAAAACTCTCGCTTTCTTCTACTCTTCTTTCAACTACTTTTCCAAGTGAAGGGGAGACAAATGAGAGAGAAAGTCTCAGAAAAGATTAGAACGTCAATCTTTGCTTATTATTTATTTATTTCTTTTCTTATGAGACCGGGTTTCTTTCTTTTTTCTTTCTTTTTCGTCTTTCTTTCTTTCACTCAGATGCTGAAATCAAACCCTTTTCAGTGACCAAAGACCAGACTCCATTGAGCCTTCTGCAGTAGGACAGAGCCACAGCACTGGTTCCAAGAAGCTCTTCTTGGAGCAAGAGGCTCTGGCTAAGTGCTGCCCTGATCCATGGGCAGTGCTGAGACCCTGAGAGTTCCCAGCAGAGCCTAGAACCACCTCTGTCTTTGGAAAGCAGATTCTCCTTGGCAGTTGAGTTGTGCCTGTAGAAACCTCTGCTTTCTGAGCAGAGACGCTGTGCTGGGAAAAGACATGCATGATAGAGCTTGCTTAGAAAATCTTCATTGCTTTCCAAAGAAGGCAAACGGAAGCCACTTTAAAAATGAATTTCATTTGCTAAATTCCAAAGTTATATTTATCAAAGGACTTCAGTAGAGTTCAGGAGAGGAGAGAGTGCATTGGACTCAAGTTCATCTTTCATTCTTGTCTCTCAATACCACATGGTGAAGGATTGGAGTAGGATGGCAAAAAGGAGCTGCCCTCTGAGAGGTGAGATTTCCTTCTTCCACCATAGAGGGGCCTTGCCCTTGCTTTTCCCTGAACATCCAGAGAATCCTGCTCTGAGGAGGCCAGCTGGGGAGTCAGGGGAGGGTGGGTGGTTCCTCGGAAGGAAAACAGAGCTGAGGACATTTCCCAGACTCTGTGTTTTGAACAAAGCTGTGACAAACTTGGGGATGTGTGATGCCCAGAAGAGGTGGAGCAGGTGTCTATGGACCAGTGCTGCCCAAATTTTTTTGGTGTGACCTCATTATAAAACTAGAGAGAACTACTTCACTTTGCTATCACACAACCCTCTTTGAGATGATCTGACCATTCTCCTCCACTGCAAGGTTATGAAGAACCTGGAGGTTAGCAGAGATGGAGGCACTTTGTAAATGATTAAGTGCTACCTCTCTGTGTCACTTGGTATCACTGTCACTGGTTTGGACAGTGATGCATGGATTCCACACTTCCTCATTTTTCTCCAAAGAGAGTTTCCCTTCAATCTCCCCTCTTCTCCAATATATCCCTTCCTACTATCCTTTTCCAGTACGCAGCTTCTTCGGGAGGAAGCAGAAGGGATTTATGACCTGGATTCACTTCTGCATAGGTGAGAAACTTCCTACTTCTGTCTGTGTCTGCTCCCTACCGAGGGCTATGAAGTGACCTTAGGGGCCTGGGCTGAGCTTGGAGAGCAGCCAGCGCCCTACAACTTGGATTGGGGTGTGACTAAAACACTGGGTGGAAGGGCTTTTTAGCATCAGTATGCGGGGCCCTGGAGAGCCATAGATTGCAGTGTCTGCCCCTAACCAACCTGCTGGACCTTCCATTCCCATCTGCTCCTGACTATAACTGGTGCCTTTTGTCTTCTTCAGCCACCTGTGCAATCTCCTAGATGGTAACAGATTTAATCAATTCCCAGAAGATGCCCCTGGTGAGACAGTCCAACCATCATCTGCTAGAGCTGACTGCTCAATTAGGCAGCCTTTGGAGTTTGTCACCACTTCATCCTTCATGGTTTCCCAAGCTCCTTCATCTGAGCACCTCCCATCTCTGACCTCTACCTTGTCACAAGGTCTGAAGACTCTTCCAGGTTCTCTTGGGTCACAGTCCCCGGTAAGGGCCTCTTCACCACCAGAGCCTTCGGGCCCTCTGGGATACCCCTCACCGCAACCATTTTCAACTTCCTCTTCCCCATTGCATTCTCCTGGCCCCAAGGCCAGCCACAACCTTTGCCCCACCCTGGCCTGGCTCTTCCTCAGCAGGATTCATCCCTCCTCCCTCTGTGGACCATCCGACAGAGCTCCTCTCCACCCAACCAGTGCTCATTGCCTTCGCCTGTCCCAGCAATTTCAACTCTTGGCCACTCTGTCTGTGACATCTCAGGCCTTCCCCAGTGTCAGGAGCCTCCCAGAGCCTTATGTCACTCCAGCATTACCAAGAGTGAAGCCCAGAGAGGTCAGGTTATCGGCCAAGTCCCAGAAACATCATTCCTGGCAGACACTGCCCCGACACAGGTGGAAAATGGTAGTCCCCATTTCTTCAATCCTGCTGTCCAGAAGGTGCTAGAAATACTGATCACCAAGAAAGTGGAACTGAAGATCCTTAAGAACACTAAAGGAGAGGGGCCACACAGACCCCTGTATTCTCTGGGAATTATGTTAAAGTTCCTGGGCAAAGAACAGGACCCTAATATCTTGCCTGCATTCTGGAAAATTGAGGCAGAAGTAGAGCAGATTCCCACTTTGTCACAGCTCCCCTATGCAAAGATATTCTGGGAAGATCATGTGTAACACAAAGGGAGCCAGTTTTTCTGGGGTCTCCCAGGTCTACACAGTGAGTCCCTGGTGGATAACACCAGAGATGCCACACTAGAGTTTTCTACCATTTTATTCAATGGTCTCTGTAACTATGTCCCGGGACAAATTCAGTCCAATGTTTCTCAACAACTCTTTCCTCCTCCACCCTTGGCCAATGATGTGGCCCAGCCCCACACAATTACTCCCACCCTGCCTCCACTCCAACTCCCATCTGTGTCTCAGAAACAGAACCAGGAGCATGCTCCCTCTCTCCCAATTGTGCCTTGGTGTTCACCTCAAGCCATTTCTAGTCTTAAAGATCAGAAAGGAAAGAAACATCCTATTTCACATACTGTTCAACACCTACAATGCAATTTTTTGAAGGAGCCAGAGGACAAGAGAGATTTTCTTCCTTTGGTCAAAAAACCTCAGAAAGTCTTTAGCCAGCCTGCTGACAAACATGGGATCATCCAGGAAAACAAGTCCTCTGGCAAGCTCCCAGTGGATGTTATTTATTTTACAGTCCAGCAATAACTGCAGGAAGATGTTCAAAAAAGATTGGTGTGTGGGCTGCCCCAGAAGGCTGACCTGTCTCTGGACAGGGAGAATGACCCAGAAAGAAGGAAGGCAAAGCAAAATTGTGGGCCTTCCCAGACTTCAGTGATTTCAGATAATAGCTGTCGGGTCATACAAAAGACCATGTCAGAGTTTTCAGAAATATCCGAGACAGGGAAACACTCAACCAAAGACCTGGAGAAGGCCCCAAAAGACCTATGCAAGTGTCTAGGAATCTCTGCAGTGAATGTTCTAGAGTCTATCTGTGATCCAGCATCACCAAGGAAGGGACTGAGACTCCTAAGCAGTGATTCAGGCAATGATTCTGCAAGCAGGCCAGACAAGAAGAACATAGAAGACAGTGAGAGCATCCGTCCAAATGGGCTGTTTGAGCAGAAAGGGGAAGGAATCTCTGTGGACCCTGATCATTCCACCCTTACTGTGGACCATGCCTGCTACCAATTTGGAAACTCAAACATCTCCATGGGAACTGAGAACGAACCATCTGTGCAGGGCCAGGAGTATGGCATGAACACCCAGGATCTCTCTGTCCTTGATGGTGGAACTCATCAGATGCTGCATTTGAAAAGACTCTGTGAGACACAGGTGGGGCTTAGCCTTTAGAGTCATCAGGGTCATTTTGAAGCTGAAAAAGGTTCACACGTCATTGCTTCCACAGCCTGCATCTTCCTCCTCAGCCTCCCAAAACTCCAAGCGTGACTCCACCCAGCAAGATATGAATTTGCAGGGAGAACCATCTGAGAGTATTCCCAGTGATAAAGTGAAAATAACTATGTCTGTTCTCAAAATACAGGGTCCTGTCACTGGTCACTCTTTCAAATATTCAAAGGAGACACTATTTGCTGATGACCACGGGACCTCAGAAGTTGCACCAACTGGAAAGAGAACATCCTGAGTGCTCAGCCCCATTTATACTGCCCTGAGAGCAGAGCCTAGAATCCTGATACTGTCTCAAGTCCAGGGAGATGCAGCATTGGTCCAAGTCCAATCACAGTAATGGACAAATATCAGCCTCAGGAGCAAGGAGGTATGGTCTCTAGAGACCTTTCCCATCATGGCTTGACAGGGGAGGTGAATATAGGTTCTCCATGTTCAAGGGACAGAGACATCCAGAAGACCATGGACACAGAGGTGAAGAAACTCTTGGAGGGGGCAGTTACCAAGGGAGCCAGTGGGTTGGCACCCTCCCCAAATCTTAATGTGAGTCCCAGGAGTTCAAAGCCTAGGGGCTCAAGAAAAGTTTCCCCTCACCCAGAATGTGTTCTTTGCAGGAGCAAGGAGTCTCATCCTTGGGTACCCTGGCAATGTGGAAAAATATGGATTCTGCTACCAGAGTCCTCCTGCAAGACTTTGCCACTGGCAAAGTCCTTCAAGACTCTTCCTCAGAGATACCTCTCACCAGAAATATTCTGGATTCTCAGGCCCATCTAGCCAGCATCCGAGGAGTGTCCACTAGCAGGGCATCACCATCCCGAGGGATAATTGGCCTCTTAATGCAGGACAGAATTAATCAGGATCAAAAGGAGCCCGGGATCTCAAAACTCCAAGATCCACAGGAGATCAAAAGCCACATGTTTGGGCCACCTGAGAGTGGAGGGGGCTTTATGAGTCCCAGTAAAATGATCACTAATCACCCATCCCCTTCCCAAGCGATATGTGACCTCCCAGTGAGGGAAACAAGGCACCTGGAAAAGGAGGAGCCCAGACAGCCCAAATCCCACGAGCCCAGGGTGAGCAAGAACCACATGTTTACTCTCCCTGAGAAGAGAGGGAGCTTTGAGGAGTCCAAACCAGGAGGGAAGGAAGAACAATTTGCAGGAAGTAGGGGAGCTGGCTTGTTGACGCACCCTTTTCAGGTCAAGGAACTAAGAGATACCACAAGCTCCAAGGCTCTGTTCCAGTCAGAGAACAAAACGTCACCTTAGCAAGCTACCACTGGGAACACAGTCAGAAAATTTCTGCAGAACATACAGGGCAAGAATGACAGAGGAGAGGCAAGGCCCCTGCAGAAAACCAAGCCCCAAGCTACTGTGATCCAAAGTCAAGGATCAGACATGAAACCCAATGTCTTTAGGGAAAAAAAGCAGCACGGAAACCGACATGCTCATGAACACTGTGGGACAGATCTTAGAAGAGAAACTAAGGCTACACCATGAAATTTCTGCCTCAAAAGAAAATTTGCAGAAAAGGGGACCCCAGGTGGATAGGTGGGCCTCCTGTCACAAGAATACTTCCTCTCCACAGCAAAAGAAAATCCTGAGCAGCATGGCCTGTGGTCCACAGGCCCAGGCCCCAGCGCCCCAGCCATGTGTTTAATGGAAGCCTGAGCAAAGAGAGGGCAAACAATCCTGCTTTCCCACCCAGGGAGCCTGGGCCCCTACCATATCGCTTCCAACAGAGGCCCATGAGGGCTGGAGCCTCAGAGCCCCCTGTTCACTGCCCCAGGCACTGTGCCCTTCAGAGAACTGTGTTCCCCAATCAGTCACATAATGCTTCTCACATTGGACCTGGGGGAAAATCTTTGCTGAACCAACCTGCTTTGTCTCATACAGGCAGGTCTTGTATGGGCTAAGGTCATCTTTGTACAGAAATGTCTGTGGATTCCCGCAATAAATGACTTTTTCCTCACCAGAAGGCATAGTTTCATCTGTGTTGTATTGAGGCCTGAGAAGGAGTAAATTTTTGATTTTCTAAAGAGCAGCTTCAGGCTATGACTTAGGCAAGTCCCTTGTTGTCTCCAGACTTCATTTCCTGACCCCTTGAGCTCACTGCTGGGCATTTCATCTCACCCCTTCCTCTTGAAAGGGTCAGGAATGCTCAGAAAATAGTGCTGTGAATTTCCCAAATGCTATTATTAGCAGTGGGACCTGCTCACATTTGTTTCCTGGGTGAGGTTTGTTAGGATCAAAGCTAGGAGTGATTATATTTAAGGGAGCTTTAGAAAAAGGTTCTGGTAGGATGCAGCTTTTAGAACCACAAATCCTTCTTGTTTGCTGAAGCAGCTTTGGACATGCTTCTATGGAGGGGCCTTTGCCTTACAAGGCATGATAAAAATAGTGCAGTGATGCTGCTGGTGCTATTCCACAGAAATGCGGGCTGTAAAACCACAGTGGTGCGTGGCCAACAGCTTATTTGCCAGATTTGCCACAGTGTAATTTATGGTTCTTCCTCGAAGTCCAAATATCAACAAAAAGTAAATATTTTGAATCTTTTGAAGACATTGAGACTGACACAAACACACAATAAAAATTTTCAAGAAACATTCTGGGTCTGGCTTACAAAGTCTTCTTGGTGAAATTGGCTACTGATATTTATTTTGACTAATTTCTTTTTGATGCAAGTGTGTACAGCGATCTGCTCCACTTTAGTATTCACCAAACTCACAATTCTCACAAGCCTTAAACCAGCACCTATTTTCATAACAGAAAACGGCCCCTGGGGACATAATAGTCAGTTCCAGCCAGTTTAAACTGCCACTTTCAACTGTCAGTGTACTTCAGTTCCTCTTTCCCAGGAGAGGCTGGACTTCCGCTTCAGTGAGAGCCAATCCCCAAAGGACAAGTCACTCTGCTTATGCTCTCCTCTTCCTGATATCTCAGGAAAAGCTCTCTCCCTGAGCCTTGGGCCCCAACTTCTCTGGAAGTAAGCCCAGCTGGGTCTAATCATGTAATAAAGCTGATTCTTGCCTCAAAACCTCCATGCCACTTGGTTCTCACTCATGGCTGTGCTATCATCATCCTAGTAAGAAAACCTGTTTGGTTTCAAGTTTCAGATTTAAACCAAAAATCATCCTACCTCTGATGATCAGCAAACTAAAGAAATGTGCCTAATAATGTTCCCCTTAGCTCATAGAAGTTCCAGGGGTGGCCGTTTTATTGTCAGTTGTTTATGTTGGTGATTTGTAAAAATAAAACACTTCACTAATGACTGTTACAGGGATAAAGCTGTCACATACAAACACTGCTTAACATGGGTGAGGTCCTGAGTTCAATTCCTGGTACCCCTCACCAAAGAGTACACTAATGAGGACTAAAAATAGCACAAAATAACAGGAAATATGAAAACATCCTTTCCTTGTGCACCAACCTACAGTGCTAGAGACAACAGACCAGAATAGGCTTTCTTGGGAGAGATCACACAGCAATTTTAGGAAGATGGAAACCATGTCTTCTAAAAGATCCTTAGCTACCATTG